ACTCAAAAAGAAGAAAATATGCAGGAGGAGCTGAAGAAAACGAAGTGAAGAACTTCTTATAACCCTTATTTTATTACACAATTAGCACAAAGTACATACACACATGCATAGATTTGTTGCATAGCAAATTTGTAATTTCATAATAGTACAGAATTCTGATGTTGACTTCACCTAAAATAAGGTTCAAGATACCAAACTAAAACCAAAATACATATTATAACTACAATTAGTAATAGGATTATGATTATACATTCAATTTAAAATGCAAAAGTAATATCTCATGAGAATCGTTGCTCGGTTGGTAGCAAGGACGACATTCCGCAATGACACATCACTTGCCCGAACTTCCCTGAATATCTGGAGCTCATCGTCCTACAATTATTAAAAAGTTAATATATTAGTAAAAAAATAGAGGAAAAAAAGAAAATACACTTACTAAAGTGTGGAGGTAACGGTTGGCGACAACAAAGTTGTGTGACCATCCAAGCTACTCCACAGTTGGCAGGTTATGAAAAACATCAATTTCAAGGGCACTACGAATGTGAAACAAATATAAGAAGTATAAGGAAATGTTTTCATAGAGTCCCCATCTCAAGTGCTTTCCCAAGTCGCAATGCATATTTGTGTTTGTTGTTTAGAAGCAATCAAATGGGCATGTAGAAGAATTTGTAATAGTTCCCTTGCAAAGCACTAAACAAGCACTTCATAGAAAATTTGCAACAACTTTAAAAAAGAGGATATATAAAATTCATATAAATAATGATTGTCACCAAAGTTTTTTGCATTTATATATCAATGTAAAACTCTAATTTTTACATTGATGCTGATGCCATCCAAATCTTTCATAACTTTCATAAGAAAGAACAAATAACAAAATGACAATATGACAAACTCATAAATTTGAAGGCAAATCAATCCTTCTTGAGCAAAATCTGTAATTATGGAGCACATAATAACTAAATAAGCTATGCTTCTTCCACCATAAAGTCATCCACGGAATAACCACAAGCATTCAATGTACACTAAACTTTGCAAAGCATGGAGAGCATGGAGAGCATGGAGAGCATACAAACAACAAACGAATGAAGTAGAAGGCGACAACTTTCCTTTTGCATTAATACCAACTAAATCTCCCATAGCACACAAAATATATAAACAAAAAATCTTTTCAGATTTATACCACCTAAATCCTACTTTTGATTTATATATGGCAGTCTCCCAAGAAGGGACCAACTTCTCAGGAGGGATTATAATTTTTCAAATAAAATACTAGAAGTCTCCCAAGAATAGGATTCTGATTAGGTTTGTCACCATTTCCTCACCATTGGCTCTAAACTCAAAAGTCATAATTTCTTTCATTTTAAACTTAAATTGCTGTTATTAATGCTAAGTGATTAACGACTTAATAACTGGCCTTAATCAAAAGAATGCTTCCATTACAAGGAGAAATAGTTAATCATAAGAGCTTGCACTTATGGAAAATATTAAATTCTGCATTTAAAGGTCTTAGTAATGTAAGGGTAAAATATTTAACTAGTTTCTTATCTAAAATTTCATTTCTTATAGCAACTTGACTCAAAACACATAAAAAAACTCTCTCCTCGCTTGTGGGAGGCTATAACATAAATAATTTAAGCTCACAATCACATAAATATTTCTTGTTATGATAGAGAGACTTTTAATCTTAGGGATTATAAATCATTCACCTCTTTTCTCAATGTCAAATTTATGTTGATTTGATAAAAATATTATTTCTTTATTCAATGAATGATCTCAATCCACTCATGGACAAACAAATACACAAGAATGACAATAACTAATAACACAACCTATAATGATATTTCTATATTTTCCATTAATAATGATAAAAATCAATAAAATAAACCAAACAATTAAATATGATAACCTCAAATTATGTAACAAATTAGTAACTTTATAAATTAAGATTAAGTGTGCCACAAATATTCATGAGCTTGCTAGCATCTTCACATAATAAAAAAAATTAATATTATTAAATATGACTTGCGTAGCAACTCCAACATGTCGTTGTAAACATATTTACTCGACTATAATAGAAACATATTAATTTTTCCATGAATCATACTGTAAATGGAGAAGACCTTTGTACAGTTTAGTGATTCTTTGATTAAAAAAAAACTTTATCCACTTGTCAAAGAACAAATACTAAAGAATGGTAAAAATTAATAATACACATTATAATGACATTTTCAAAATTGCCATTATGAATGATAATAGGTAATAAAAAAATATGTAATTAAATAAAATATCTTCAAATTACTCAATAAATTAGTAACTATATTGATTAAGATTTATTGTGCCACACAAATTAAAAATTCTACTAACATCTTCAAATAGTATACAAGCCTTTATATTGATTAGATATTATTCTCTTGTATGCACCAACTAGCCTTTTTATGTATTTATACTCAATTCCATGGGGGTATGTATTCCTTTTTTCAAGAATTATAATGTATAAAAAGGAAACCTCCTTTGTACTTAATGAATGATTCTTTGAATAAAAGAAAAAAAATGCTTTTCCCCAATATATTCTTTTGAACTTCTCAAACTTTAGTATTTTAATCAATAATCTAACCTTTATAAAAAAAATGAATTTTAGAAGGAACTTTTTAAAATTAAACTCAAGTGCTATCCTACCTCAAGGACACAAAGTTTCACTAAGCCATAAGGGTATGAAAATCATTGCTTTTGAACTATTGGTTTGCTTAAGTTATAGATAGTAGTGCACATAATAGTATTGGGTGAGTTCTAATTTGAACAGTTAATAAAACTATATTATTGTAGAAATAATAATTGGTTAACCCTTACATATAAGCTTTAAGCTTTAAAATTGAAAATGTGTTAAGCCAATGGTTCATCTAATCTAACTTCAAACTAATGTGGGTATACATAATCAAATATGTTGTAGCAGATAAGTGATTCGGGTTATTTGTGACTTCACAAATCTTACACTTTTCCTTTATTAATTAGCAAGGTTCAGAAATCCTTGACTTTGATACAAGCTCCACAAAATTGAGTAGGCTTTTGAGGCGAGATTCTTAGTGCTATTGAAAGGCTTCTACTCAAGATGGAATAATGACATAATCATAAGGGACTAAGTTTTGAAGTACCATTCACTTATAAATTCAAACTTTTAACCTAAAAGTTAAGTTTACATTGGGTCTAATTTTGATTGATTTTCTTACTCTAGTAAATTAATATAATATATTTTTGGTCAATTTTTATTTTCCAAACATAGATGCATTAAGTTTTGTCCCATATGAATTTTGAGAAGATTTTGTAGTTACTCTTTTAAATAAAGTTCAAATTGAAGACATATTATATTTAAAATTTTTTTACCATTTATTGTTGTCCTTGTATTTATGTTATATGTTGGCACGATCAAGTGCCTTTTAACCGTTATTAGCATTGAACTTCAATGATGGAAAACTTTGTCATTGACAACCTTACACATCAGATAAATATTTTTGAAGATGAGGAAATGGTATTAAAAATTATTACACACAGCTTTCTCAAAGTCTTAAGATAAAGTAGTTATAACAATTTGTCAATCTCAAATGAGCTTGGGTTGGCTAGCCTAGGTCTTAAAACTATTAAATTTATTTTGAGATAGATATGATCTCAAAAGAAACAAAAGATATTTATATTACAAGAATTTTAAAAATAAGTTCAATGACAAATATATCAATATCCTAACCCAATTATTTTCCCATAACAAAATAAAGAGAAGCTCGTATGCATTGCCCTATTAGCAGTGAACTTAGATGATGAAACACTTTCTCATTGAACAATTTTACAAATCAGATAAATATTTTTGTAACTGAGGAAATGGTAAAAAAAATGTTTACATGCGAAGCTTTAAGTTAATGTAATTATAACAATTTGTCAATCTCAGATGAGCTTGGGTCAGGATAATTTGGTTGGGCTAGGTTTTAAAATTGTTAAATTTCTTTTAAGATAAATATGATCTCAAAAGAATTAATAGATATTTATATTACAAAAAATTCAAAATGAATAGACTAACAAATATATTAATAGCCTAACCCATTTATTTTCCCATAACAAATGAAGAGAAGCTCACTTACATGGCTATCACTTGCCTTTATTTCAATGACTATCCAATTAAAAAAAAAGATTCATATAACCTCTCAACTATTTTTGAGGAGAATTATAAGCCATTTTAATCCAAGACAATAAAAAATATTTTGATATTGATTTGAATTCAAAAAATAATAACCAAAATAATCTCACTATTAAAATCAATAGAAATTAAAATTAAAATTAATTATTGACACTAGATGGGAGAGTAATTTAAAAAAAATATACATTTTTTTTTAAAATTTTATAAAATCTATTTTTTTTACTTATCTTCTTTGAAGTATTTTCTATTGATAATATTTTCAATATTTCTTTAAATGTCCTATGATAAAATTAATATATATCAAACATAATTCTAAAAGTTATAACTACTAATTTTTTTGACAAAATGTCCCAAAAATTCAAATAAAAACACGTGTTAGACTTCATAAAAATTTCGAGTTCCAAAATACTCATTTTTAACAAATATATTAACATTAACTTTAATTTTCATTATTTTAACAGCAAGGTCATTTTGGCACCTATTTTAAACCAATAAATAAAAAAAACAAAATTTTAAAATAACTTGAAACTAAAATCACCCACATGAACAGCACATGATTGTAATCCCATTCAATTGCTACAGACAGGCACGTGGCATGCATGTGATCAATGTTTAAACGCTAGTTGCTAAAGCTCTCACTGAAAGCAGAGGCAAAATAAAGTTGCACACTGATAAAAGGAATCCACAAAATTGTGAGCCAAGAGTTTTCAACCCAGTTCCCACCCCACCCCCACACCCCTTGGACAAGACAATAAATGTATACTGACATGAAAGCAAAGTAAGCACATGAGCAAAATTCAGAAAAGGAATTAATCCAGATGTGGACAGTAAAAAAAGACAACTATAACTAATAAAGTTCTGCTACAATGCTCCACCAACCAGCATAAGAAATCTTCAAATAAACTGTCTAATTAATGCATAACAGCAGGTTTCTCAACCGAAGAATGGCGGATTTACCATCCAAAATGAGGCACCCAAAGGCCATAGTGGCACTAACCTAGCTCTCTCTCCTTAGGAGAAGGCTGCAGTACCACTACAACATTTACTCTTACACTTCTAAAAATAAAGATGGATAAAAATTAAGATTGGTTAATGCCACATTTCCCAAATTGACACCACATCAATGCCAAAGAGGATATACACTTGTACCTGACTCGTCTTGTTCACATTCAACTTTTCGTCTTCTACTTGCTCGGGAATAAGACATTCATTTCACTCAGGCATAAGATACTCCACCCTGAATAAAATCTAAGGGTAAAGTACCTTAAAAGTAGAAAGCAATGAGTGAAATATCTTATTTTTGAGTGTAGTGAAAAAATGAGAAGTTGGATGCTAAATCTGAGAAGCCATTTACAAACATAGCTTCCAAAAGGCAGCTGATGTAGCAATTTTGAGAAGTATAGCATTTTGTTATTAAAATTATAGCCGCCGGGTAACCGCCACTCTTTTAACGTTATGCAAAAGGTAGTTCATTTACTCAATAGAAAGGACTAAATCACCACCTAACGACTGCTTTCTATTCTTTTGGAGATTGGATGGCCTTCCTCATCATTCAAGCTGTTAAAAGAAATTGAGGCTTGAAGTGTATGTTGCTTTGGGAGACCAATTCCTTGGAATCACATCTCTTGCCGATAGTGTCCTCTGTGTGGTGAGAGTGGTCAGCTTTACAGAGAAAGGACCCACCAGCGGCCCACCGATTATGCACCAACTTGCTCCCCACACATGCTTCATCTCATTCCAATCAGTGGAACTTGACTGCAAATAATTCAAATAAAAATAGATTTTAGTTGAAAAATATTAATAATTGAAATTCTATAACATGCCTTGAAATAAGGGCTAAACGGTTCAGATTGTCAAAAGCATTGTTGAGATCAAAATAATCTTATGCTATTATTAATAAGAGAAAATTTTCACAATATCCCTAATTTGCACTATTTGAACGGAATGAACAATCAAAGGGAGTACAACCTTGAGCATGCTAGCTACAAGTTTAGCTATGACTTCATGGAATGTATTACAAAGTGAGATTGGTCTATAATTAGATTGTAAATTATCATGACTATGCTTAGGGATGTGTGATAACACGCAATGCTTAGCCATAGTAGAAAGTTTCCTGCTATTAATGAAATGTTATGCAGCTAGAATGAAATGAGGCCCCGCTTGATCAAGGGAATAAGAAGGAAACTTAGAACTAACATCATTTAGGCCAGGGAATTTTATCATTATGAACAATTTTGTAGAATTCCCTCATCACCACTCAAAAAAAAAAAAAACAAAAGGGGGACAATATGAGCATGAAACATATTGTAAAGAACAGTATTTACAATGGGAGCATCCCCATGATGGAGGCATTTTGGTCTATGGCTGGATTGTTACAGTTGTTTAGATTCTCTGCTCTTAATTATCTTATTGACTCTAAATGAGTTTTTAAAGAAGATTTTTGGCATTCAGATTCCTTTTTGTAGGACTAATATTAGGAAATTGTATTTAATAGGTATGCAAGGAGATTATGATTTGGACAATTTTTAATTCTAGTAGCTTGGTCTGTTTGGTTCAAGGATACATGATTTCATCTGGTTTGAGAAAGTGTATCATGGGTTTCTCTTTTGTGAAAACAGAGGTTCAACATATTGCTTCTATTCTGCAGCATTCAATCATTTAACGGATGGTTCTTATGCTTCTCTATTTAGGATCCTTAGCTAAAATGACCGCTTAATTGAGAGGTTGAGTAGGAATGCTCACTCCCTATTTTAACTTATCCATTCATTCTAAAATTAAGTCTATTATTATCAATGGGAAATAGTGCGTGCCTGATTGTCTGAAGCACTTCTCCCAATCTTGTTTTGATGATATAACTAGTATTCATCTATCAAGGAAAAGAGATGAGAAATTGCAAGCGGGGAGAAATTACCTCTGTTTTGAGGGTAAGAAAACAAATTTCAGTAAAATTCTGGATGTTCTTAAAGTCAAGTTAATTTATATGAAGATTTGAACCCTCAAATTCTTTTTTTCCTCATGTCTAGCATTTTTTACAGGGCTTAAAACAATTGATACTCTTGAGGGATATATATTAATAATATTTATCTATTGTGCAAATAATATTTAGAATCCCACTCCAACTTTTTTTTTTGGTTGTAACTAGGCAATGCATTTGGGTTAGGAACTTGTTGTCTAATGTGTGTTTTCTTTTTCCTTCCTTAGAGGTATCTTTGCTTCAAGCCCTTGATACCAGTAACTGCTATGATGTGTAATATTTGATAGGAGCAAATGCAAAGGTTCATCACGTAGCTGATTCTAGCTCATTTGCTGTTACTGTATATGATATAACATAGGTAAGCTTTAAAATTAAGAATGCAAAAATTATCTTTTAGCGGCCAAACATTATTGAAACTCTATTTCTACAAATAATTATGCTCATTGAACTTTTTTAGCTTTATAGTAACCTGCTTCTATTTCTATAAATCATTTGCAAGTGTAACTTGGCTCTGTCGTTATAGTGTTTTTTTATAGTTTTGGTAGGCAACATTTCAGATAACTATTGTCAATTTTTATTCATGTTTGTTTCTCTTTTCTCTTTACCTGTAGTTTGGTCTTTTGTGCATTTGTTGTCTTTACATCTACTTGTTTTTTTTACCACTAGGAAGTTTTCAATGTTGAAGAATCTAATGGTCAATATATATACTACCAGGACAGTTTTTGGTGGGCTCAAGGTAAAGATGATTGAATCTATTTAGGCTGTGTCAACATAATACTATAACTCAAATTCTATGATTGATTTGCCCACATGTGGATGGAGCAAGCGGAAATGTCAATACCTATTGGAGATCTAAGCTTGTCACTTTCTTCAGTTCAATATTTCTTCAACTCTTATCTCATTCTAAGATTTTTTGCTATTTTGAGGTATGAGTTTTATTTCTTTTCGTTCAACCATTTTTATTTCTATTATATTTAATTGCTAGCTCGATTTTCTGGTCACTTTGGAACTGAATATTTTTTATTGAAACTGTCCCAAAAATTCCTTTTTTTAGGAGATTATACATGTATAAGTGATAACTAGATTATGCCCACTCATTTTTGCTGAAATAAAAAATAATCGGAAGAAAAAAATGCAAAGACAGCCATTGGAGTTTACCTCCAATGATGCAATAATAAATATCATCTCAACTGAGTAAAGAGGATGCTGTCCTGTTAAAATTAAATAAGCTGTGTATTGTAGGATATATATATATAGGGGAGGCTCTATATTAGTGCTCCTCTCAAATGATTAAGGAAGAGGCCCTCTTGCTAAAATTGAATATTCCATGTTCTATAGTATATATGAAAACAAGCACAATAGAAAATGCTGGATCAATATCATATCAAGTATAGATAAGAATAGCCTTGAACTTTATTTTTAAGCTCAAATGTTCATCAACTTTTTCATCACCCATAACTGAATTTTATATTCCAATATTTCTCTTCAAAAACTAATCATAGTAAAATTTTGTTGGAACTAACAAAATAGATTATAAGTTCAAATCACAAATAACTTCTTGACAATACAATCTCAGGGACTTATTCATCAAGTGTAGGAAAGAACCAAGTCACTGCATAACCCCACAAGATAAAATTTTACGAACCCATAAATCACTTATTTGTGATTTGAACCCATTCTAAAATTCCTCCAGATCAAAGAAGCATAGTAATATCATATTGGAACAAAAAATTGAAGAAGGGGTTAAGTGTTGAATCACACAGCTTCTTGGCAGTGCACTATTCTTCAATTTCTTATGAGATCCCATGTTGAGAAGAATCTAATGCATTCAGTTCTTTTAATAGACAACAAATAACTAATTTCATGGTATAATTAACATTGAAGATCAGGAGATTAAATGCTTATCATAATCTTTTGATCAATAAATAAATATTTTCTCATTTGATAATTAGAACAAAAGTTGAAGTAGAGAATGACAATTGGTTAAATAACATACTGTTTTTATTTGCATTGAACCGATATCTCCATCTCCATCTTCAAACTCTACAAGAAGTGACAGCCAGTAGTTTGTGGAACCCTCATTCACGTGAAAGGCTATGTTCTTCCCACGATACTTGCATGAAGTACTACAAATCATATTAATTTGCTCCATCAATTTTCAGAATCAAGATATTAATAGACAAAAAACAATGTAGCATTTTTTTGGCACTCAAATTTCTAAATATAAATATTTAACAAGAAAAATGGAGAAATATCATCACTAAATATAAATCACATGTATTTTTAACAAGCATCTAAGGGAACTTAGGAAGCATTAATACAATGGTGGAGTTCAATAACACTAAATAACGTTGTAGAGACACAAAATTTAATTTAGCTTCTCTAAGGATATATTGTCACCTATTTTTTGAAAACACGTATATTAAATAAACACCCTGAAGCAAAAAATAGTAATAAAAATCTGTGCTGAAACTGAAGTTCATCTTTAGGCTTCTTTCGATTAAAGCTGAAAAATATAATTTAGAAAGTGATATTTTTGCCTTAATTCATTTTTAGTGTGAAATTAAATCCTCACTTTTGAGAGATTTTGAAACTATTAAAAGAGCTAAAAAATTCATATTAATTTCAAGCTAAATCAAACAAATTAAATGATAGAATCTAAAATAATTCATCATTTTTAAAACACCCTCTAACTTCAAACAATCAAATGAGCATATATCCATGCAATCAACATGAATCCAAAGAAAAATTGATATTCTGCCCAAATTTGATAGAATTTGACTGTTTTACTCTCTCACGACTGTGGTAAATTCATAACGTTAAAAGATAACAGAGGCAACTTTCATCTGTGAAAGTCAGACAACAGTAAAAAAAAAGAACACAGAATTACAGTGCTCTGAACTAGACATAAAGCAGATTAGTAGACCATAAAAGTAACAGAGCACCATCTAATTTCTACTTGACATTGACGTAAAGTAAACTATCCAGAGCCTCCAATAAATCAATCGAAGTTCGACAGCCACCACACTCTACAGAAGAGATCGATTATCCAGTAAACAGCGATTAATTGCAGTTGATGATTTATTATTACCGGCGATAGAGGACGGAAATCTCGCCGCGGTTGCGGAGCTCGGGGCCCTGTCCGGCGATGGCCATGCGGCTGAAGGCGGCTCCACTGAGGTCAAAGTGGGTGCGGCCAAAGGCACAGTAGCCGCCGGGGCACTCGTCGGTGACGATGATGGTGACGGCGCGCCGCGAGCAGATGGAGTGATCCGCACACCGCACTTTGTAGCACGCACCGCACCCTTCCCCATCCTTAAACAGCACCGGACTCACAGCACCCACCCGCGACTGCAGAGGTCGTACGTCCACCAGAGATCCGTATCCGCACGCACCACCTGTGCGTTCACATGTACAGGAAGCGAACAGCCCGCCGAGAAAGAAGAAAAAAGCTCAGAATTTTCAACAAAATTATCAGAGTTAATAAAAAAAGTTCAAGCTTTATTAAAAAAAGACCGTTATATTTTATTATATATCAACTTTTTAGTAATTACAGAACTAAATAACCAACAAAATTGACAGAACGCTCAAACAGTAACGTAGCTGACGTCAAACAGTCACACAATCATACAAAAGGCAGACATGAGCTTTTAAAAAAAATGGGATTTTTTTTATATAGAGAATAAATTAAAAATTACAGTTAAAACAAAACAAAATTTTCAGAAGAGACCGTGGACCCACAGGAGAAATTATTTCAGCATGCTATGTTCAATTTTGATCGTCGATCACAACTTTCTACTTTTTTTTTTTAATGGGACCTATCGAAATACAGTTTTGTTGTGATCGACGGTCAAGATCTGTCCGTATGGAATAATTTTTCCAAACCGACGGCCACCAGCAACCGAAGAATTGACTAGGCGAAATGCATCGGATCAAAGCAACCCTAGCAGTACCGTATATGATACAACAATCTTACAACAGGACACGTAATACCCTAAGCTTTTTCAACCACCTACCCTGTCCCCACACAGCTGAATATTGTTGGAAATCATTGAGCCATTCCTCACCCCTACTAACGGCTATAAAATTGCCGGATCCCAGCTCCAACGGCATTTTTATTTTTTACTAATAAGAAAAGAGATTTATAACATTCTTCTCCCAGTCTCATCCACACGCCCCCAACCCGCTGTTATCTCCACGTGGCAAAATGATAGCGTTGGTGCGGGTCGGTGAGAAGTTAAATAAGCTAAATACGTTTCTAAAGACTAATGCAGAAAACTTGGCAGCTAGCCATGGAGCTTAAAGGAAAACTCACCGTCGCTGCCATCGCCGTCGGGGCTGCCGTACCAAGTGGCTGGGGGGGGGGCCTAGTGGCGGTGGCCGGAAGCCAATGTGCTTCATAGACGCTGCGAAGCTCGCCGGCGGCGGAACAGAGGACGAATAGGAAGTAGGAGATGACGGAGTAGAGGAAAAGAGAGACTGCCATTGCTTTCCAAATGGAGAAGAAAGATGGAACAAAAGAGTCCCAGTCTCTCTTCTTCACCAGTACGGCTTTAAGAAACCTCGAGCAACCAACCAGCTTCGACTTCTATCTGCAGTGTAGACAACAAGCGGGAACTGCTGGCCGTTTTTATAGAAATGGAAACTTGATTTTGCCTCTTATTTTTTTAAGAAATTTTATGATACGCACACCCTGCTTTTTACATGTAAGTGTACGCCTATCGAGATAGGCAGCGTGAGGTTTTAGGGAGAAGTGAGTGAACGTTTTTGCACTGGGACACGGGAGGCCTGCGCGCTTAACCATTATTTTAATATGTCTGGAGTGAATGTATTATATGGGTTTTTTACTTTTTACATCAACTCTCAAAACTTATGTATTAATATATTTCACACCCAAATTTTTATATTTACCATTTTTTTTTATACCATCCCTTAATATTTTCCGTTCGCTGTCGGTCATGTAATTTACGTACTTAATAAGGAAAAATTATTAAGTATGGGCTCCAGAGGTAAGTCTGGAGTCCAATGAATCAACTCCACGTGGAGCTAATATGAAAAAAAAAAACGGGTTTTCTTGTGATCCGGCTCGATAACACCGGAATATTCCTCTCGTGTTATTCCGCGTTATTCAGATGTTATTGTGGTGGATTGATGTGTTATTGTGTTATTATAATGTTGAGAATATTCTCAGAACACAAGAACACATGAATACTACTGCAATAACACCTGAATAACGCAGAATAATATGGGAGGAATATTCTCTTGTGTTAAAACAATTTTTTTTTAATTTTTCCGTCACCTTCATGCGACGTAATTTTATTAGACTCCGAACATCTCTACGTCAGAGTCCGGATAGAATATTTTCTCTGTCCGACGCAGAAGAGGTGGGAGATATAATCGAAGGTATAAGTTTTTTCCTTGTTTTGTAAATATAAATCTTTGGGTGTGAAATATGTTAATAGGTAAGTTATGAATACTATGTTAAACCCCTTTATTATGTTTGAAGGGAAGGAAAAAAAAAAACAAAAACAAAACAAAACATAAGAGAAGTAAATGCTCCAAAGTGAATAAAGGAAACTTTTAGCGTGAAATGATTTATCTTGTTGGTTAGTAAACAATTCTACGTTTTTATAGCGTTGATGATTAGGGGTGTAAAAGAGCCGAACACGAGTGAGCATGGCTCGTGTTCGGCTCGTTTATATTTCGAGCTCAAAAAGTGTGTTCGTGTTCGGCTCGTTTGTTTAACGCGGCTCTTTTATATTTCCTCGTTTGTTTAACGAGCCGAATATGAGCTGTTCACAAACAAAGAGTCATTTTAACAACCCTAGTTTGATCAAGTTTTTTAGAAAAATAAATTCATTTATCTTATCAGGAAACAAATTCATTCTCACGTTAACTTTCATCTTTACAATTTTCATTTTTATACAAGTTTTGTTTAGTTTCTTAGAACTTTATAGTAAAGGAATCTCCCTCTCTCTCTCTCTCTCTCTCTCTCTCT